AGAAAAAATGGTTGCAGTCTGGAGCCGTTATGCTTTGGAATAAAGTGAAGTAAAAGTACTTGCTTTTAGTAAGATGGCGCCGACGCTGATGGCTGCCTCCGTGGCGTGCTCCGCAGTTGTTTTTATGTTTTTGTTAGTTTGTCCTGTCTTTAGTTATATCCCTGCAATCAGTTTCACCAGGTATGTGTAAACATACCTGGCAATAAAGCTCATTCTGATTCTGATTCTGATTCTGAAAAGTAAAATTTTCTCAAAATAAAATTACTCTGATAAAGTACAGTTACTTGAAAAATGTACTTAAGTACAGTAATAAAGTAAAAATACAGTAGTCAACATTTGAAGTGGATCAAAACCTTTCATCAAAGTTGTCCTAAAATCAAACAATACCCGTTCTTGTCTTAGGACAACTTTGATGAATTTTTTTGATCCACTTCAAATGTTGACTACTGTACTTCGTGACTGTCCACCACTGGATTCAACAGTGATGTAGAATCAACATCATAGTGTAACTTTGATTCAGTGACATTGCCATTGTTTTTTTGAAAATTCAACATTGTTTCAATATTAATTGCGGATGCAAAAGTGATATTGAACCAACACCACTTTGTAGCATTAATTCAATGCAGTTAGTGTTGACGCATCAACATTGACTTAACATTGTTTCAATAGTTGCTTGCTATCTGGGGACCCTTCAAAAATTATTATTTTTCTATTTTAAACAACTGGTCAGTGAAAGAAGGTGCTCAAACTACATATTTGATCAGTTTCATTTTCTATACTTTGTCTATGATGTTTGATATGATGTTAGATTTGTGTTTGTTTAAACCGGGAAAATTTATAAAATTAAAAATAAAATATAGCCACAAACATTCATTGTTGATGTCCAAGCATTATTATTATTATTATTATTATAGGGATCATGGGAGAAAATGACCAAAACTGCTGAACTGAAACAAACAGAAGATGCTGACATGCACAACGTTTTTAGCACACTCTGCTATTGCGGTGCATTATGGGATTAAATGAGTGCACTCAATAATGGTGACTATGGTTTTGGACACCACTCCAAATGGCTGTCCACTCAGGATATAGGGGGCAATTTCAGACACAGCACATGTACATTAAGGGTATTGATTTCACAATATACAGGCCAATAAATGGGCCACTTCCAAATATATATTGGCCCAACTTATTTTAGCGGCACCTTTTGGCCGATTCTCACATTTGATCCATACCCTGTGCACATCAGCCAAATTACATAATGATTGACAGTTTAAGTTAGTAGCTATTGAAATTTGATCGGCTGCTTGTGGCCATTGTTGTTGGTTTGTCCAATTGATATTGTAGGCATATGTTTGCAACCTACTCAGGCTCAACGGAAATACGTACCTCTACCTACATTTCTGCAAAACTCAAAAAAAGTACCTATACGTACGGATTGCTGCAGTATCCAGTTGAAATGAACACTAGAGGCAGTAAAACTCAGTTTTATTCTTTTTCACACAAATCATGATTTACAGGACCAGAGTTTCCATTAAGAGCCTAATTTTCGCACAATTCTTTGCACAATATTATGTTATGACTTCAAAACGATGTTAACATGCTGTGAGATTTGAAAACTGATACTTTTGAACGTTAGAGTCACATATGTATGGGTTTTCTAACGCAGTAGGTTTGCTCAGTAGCTCACGTGATACGGCGTTGCACTTGTGCGGTGAAGAGCTCCGGTACAAATCCTGTGAAACTATTGTACAGTTCGACAAAACAGCTCAAACCTGCGTAGATGAGACTGTGTATAATACAGCCCCATTTCCAAAAGACTTGGAAGATTTTGTAAATTGCAATAAAAACAAGAATCTGTGGTTTGTTAATTCTCTTTAAAGGTGGGGTAAGCGATTTCTGGTAGCCAATGTTGACATTTGAAATCACCAAAACAAACACGCCCCTACCCCAAAAGGGTCTCGCCCCTATTTTGATAGCTCCGCCCCACACATACGTACGCAACCCAGGCAACGATTAGTTCTGTGAAACAAAGCAAAACCAATGTTACACTGTGTCTACACCGGACACTAGCGGCGCGACAAAATACTATAGAACTCATTATAATCAGTGATGCTGTCTACAACATAGATATATATACATATCTATTGTCTACACTGGATGCGGCACGACACGACAAATCCCCGACAGAAAACTGCTGCTGCATTCTATTTATGACGTATTGACACAAATTTAAAATTATTTTCAACGGTCGCTTTGTCGCGTCCAGTGTACTAGACAGACTTTAGCTGTTGCGGCGCAGACACAGTGTTACTCACCTATCGAGAAGAAACAAAGCAACCTCGGCGTCCGATCGCAGGCCTTCCGCTCCTTGAGTTCTCTCCAGCGCTGGAAAGCTGATCCGATATTTACACGGGTCCTACTTCTTGCCTTATTGCCTTAAGCCTTCTTTTGTTCCGCAGATGTTTTCCTCTTTTGTTTTTTATCCGCCATCTCTATCTTTCTGTCGCTCGGCTCGCTAATGTCCGTCCTGTGCACTGAACTCTCTCTCCTCCACATCATGAGTAGACACGCCCCTTACTGCTGATTGGCTACAAGTTTGTTTTGCTAGTCGGCCCGAATCAGTTTTCTAAAGCATTTTTGAAAAATCGCTTACCCCACCTTTAACCTTCATTTAACTGGTAAAAGAAAAAGAAAAAAAACTTCAAAAAGTTGGGATAGAGGCAAAATAAAAGTGAAAAGATTATAGAATATGTAAGCTAAACTGTTTTGAAACATTTCACAATAAGCAGGTGCATTTGGTAATACTTTAGGGCATCATGATCAGAATCATCATAAAAAAAAGAAGCATCCACCAAAGTCTCAGTCTTTGCAACCACTTTGTGCCAAAAAAAAAAAAAAAAACTTTTCTCAATGCAAGATTGCAAAGAATTTAGGTCTTTCACCATCTACTATACTTAATATTGTGAAAAGATTCAGGGAATCGGGAGAAATGGTTTAAATTGTGATATAATGTGTTCATTTTGATATTATGACATACAGTTGGTTTTAATGCTAGGTTCGTTCATGTTGGATTGCAATTTATCAAATAAACCTAATAGCTCTTTTGGCGAAAATAAACAAGATTCTAAAGCTTAAAACAAAAAAGTCATGGGACGACAGAGTGATCTGCATTCATGAGACCTGCCTTATCGTTTTTGTTTGTGCTTCCAGGGTCGCTATTGACCCGCTTCTCACACAGTGCTGTATGAAGGAGCTGCATTCGGTCGGATCCCTCTTTGCAGTGTTCATTATTCCTGAATCTCTGACTCTGCACTTTTCTCTACTTGCTGGCTTTCTGTCATCTGCTGTTAAGACCCATATTTATTCTGACTTCCAAAAAAACACACAGATTGGCATGCGACCGCCAGGCCTGCGAGCCTCATCAGCGCAGACCTCGACCCTCAACAAGACCGTTTAAGGTTAATCTGGACCTTATTACGTACAGCCAAACCCTCTTGACATCACATCCGAGCAACTATCCACCACTGAGAGTTACTACAGTGATGTATAGAAGCTTTGCATGACATTAAGTGGCTGATTGCAGCCTGATATGTGACGTTTTCTCATTTGTGGGTTTTTGGGATCTTGATTAAAAAATAGCCTTCACTGTGAAGAATCAAAAAAATGCTTTTGAGCTGTATTAGCTTTAAGTGAGCTCAGCTATAATGATTCCAGATCATGTCTGACATATGAAATAATAGCTAGAAAAGTGTATTTTTGAAATGAAAACTTCAGACAAAATAGTTGTATAAAAAAAACAATTTTTTGATCATGATACTGCTGAGTTTTATTCAAAGACTCAAACTGAGCAAAAACATGCAATTTTTTGCAGTTGCTGATATTTATATGAACAAAAATTAAGATCAAATTCTGATAACTTGCAATGTAATCATATAAATATCTCCCAATAACGTGACTCATAAATGTCTTATAAGATATGCTTGGTTTTCTGATCAAAGTTCTAAAACATAATGCAATGCAATACAATGATGATTGAGAGATGATTAAATAAACATTCCTCAAAAGCCAGATGAACATATGTTTTTTTTCTGAAAAATAATGTCTGGATAATCAATTAAATCAAAGCTACTTCAGTCCAGTAAGTGCTCATGTTGAAATATTGCGAACAATACTCAAAAATATCTGCATTAGTATCATATAACTGAAATTATTGTGGCTGTTAAAACTGGAAATCATACCTAAATATATTCTGAATTTCCTGACAATAAAAACTGTCAGTCGACATTAAAGGTTTCTCACTGATATAAGTTGCAACAACTTAAGAATGTGCTCTTTCTGTAAAAATGCATTGGAAAAATGAATAACTAAAATATAAAGAATCCAGAAAACTGTATTTCAGAATAGTCATGAATTCAGGAGATCAGAGTTTTGTTACTGCAAATGTTGATGTTTAAATTGATACATAAAATGTTGTAACATTTGGTGTAAATTTGGTTTGTTTCATCAACTAACAATTTTGTAGACTAAAATTAGATGCCATTTTAATCCAATTAAAATGGACTGAAATGAATGAATATGACATGAAATACTAAATTTTAAAGGATGACTTGAAATGAAGTTTAAAATGAAATGCACTTGTTAACATCCAGGTTTGTAGTAAACAATAAATGCAGTAAACGAGGTGCTGTTTGGTTTAGATTTATGTCTTGCACTCTCTTGTGCACCGTTGATTTAAATTCTAGTGTTCGCTGATCTTTTCCTCAAACTCCGTGCTTCCTAAAGCTGTGCTGGAGACACTGCACATATCGCATGTGTCAAGTCTCGGAGTCTCCACTAATGAGTCTCAGTACAGCTAATAATGTCTCGGGACAGCTTTGAAAAGCACTGAATATAATTTGAAATATTTCAGTGAAAAATTCAAATTTGGCTGATAGCTGTAAGGTGTTTAATTGCTTGTTTTAAGTGTTTTGCATGCTCTTATATTCTGTGCGTTATAGAAAAAACTCGGAGAGGGGAGAAGATTCATCGCAATGGAGTCAGGGAACGAGTGAAAGAAAGAAGAAAGAGTAGACCAGACAAGAAAGACAAATGGAGATCAGATGACAGCTCTGTATTCACACAGCTGGGTAAGTAACTGAATGATGTGTTCGATTTCATCGTCTGTACAGCAGTACAATTCAGTGACCCTTTAAAATGCAGGTTCTTAAAATACTTCTTAGGCAAGACAAACTGCTTCAGACTTGCGGCAATAGAGCAGAGGTTCTCAGATTCTTCCTTTTTGTCACTTTAGGATCTCACGAGTCTAATTATGTTCTAAAGAAGAGCAACAGATTTGATTACTTTGTTTAACAAATCATTTTGAGCTGCACTTTGCATGCCGTCTGCATGATCAAGTCAATGTACTACATGGCAGGTGAAAGAGTTTGAAGTGGAGGAAAATGTAGAAATATTCCACATACATGTTCCCTAAACTTATAAAGGTAATATATGTTTGTATTATGTTATGTATAATAATAAAATGTTAATAATATTGTTATAGTAACTCACTCTGCTCTAATGAACACGCTCAGCCGTTGTATTATGTTAAAACTCTGGGTTCGACTGTTATGTTCCAAATAAAAAGTTAAAAAGAACAGCATTTATTTAAAATAGAAATCTTTTCTAACAATATACTACACTATACTGTTCAAAAGTTTGGGGTCGGTGCATTTTTTTCTTTCTTTCTTTTTTTTTTTAAAATAAATTAATACTTTTATTCAGCAAGGATGTTTTAAATTGATAAAAGGTGATAATGAAGACTTGTGTTGTTAGAAAAGGATAATTTATAATAAATGCTGTTCTTTTTAACTTTTTCTTCATCAAAGAATCCTGAAAAAATATCACAGGTTCCCAAAAAATATTAAGCAGCACAACTGTTTCCAGAATTGATAATAAATCAGCATATTAGAATGATTTCTGAAGATCATGTGACACTGAAGACTGGAGTAATGATGCTGAAAATACAGCTTTGATCACAGAAATAAATGACATTTTACAATATATTAAAATAGAAAACCATTATTTAAATTGTAATAGTTCACAATACACTATTTTTCTGTATTTTAGATCAAATAAATGCAGCCTTGATGAGCAGAAGAGACTTCTTTAAAAAACATTTAAAATCTTACTGATCCCAAACGTTTGAACAGCAGTGTATATATAAATCAGGTGTTTTTTAATAGTTTTTCACAGAATGTGAATATTATAAACAGTATTTTTAAAAATAGTTTAAAAACAGCAGAGCATTCAAAAAAAATTACATGCATAAACTGATAAACATTTATTCATTCTTCATATTCATTTTTTGAATAATAACTGCTAAATGCATGAATGTAAATACCCTCAATGGGTAGTTGAGAAACTGACTTAAAATACGCTTTTTATTTTCTTTTTTCTTTTTTTGGGTCTGTGCACCTGACTTTAACCATTAAATATCTAAATGAGAAATAGTCACACAATTTCAAAAATAAAAACATCCTAGGTTAACAAGTATTTCCAGCAACTCAAAAATGTTTTGCTGGTCAAATTGACATAATACAGCAGTCACATATGAGTGGTGATGACACAGAAAGCTGAAGTCTGCAACAGCGCCCATCTCAGTACTTTTTTTGTATTGGTGCACCATCTACACGAGGAGCAGACTTCAGTTCCAACCCTGGTCCTACATACCGTTTACTGTGGCCTGTTGCATGAAGCTAGCTGAACAAACTCTGAGTTTCAGAGTAAGTTTAGAGTTGACAAAACCAAACAAATCCAGCCTGGTTTAGATCAGGTTCAGCGGGCTCACAAAGCTCGATATAAACATTCTCTGTCAACACAAGAGTTTGATCCAGAGTTTGTGATTAACTCTGAAGCGCGTGCAGCAAACAGCCAATCACTGAGCATCAGTTTGATTCACTACTCGCGAGAGTCGGTGCAATTCACTTCTCTGCTGCAGATTAAGAGATGTCGTTATTAAAAATATTATGAATTTAAATGCATTTACAATGCAGGAATAAACACTGTTGATGCAGCAAAACTTTGAGAAGGCGGCAGAGAGAAAATGCAAATGAATCAACTGAATTTATAATAAATTAATAATTTAATCTATTAATAATTTATATAGTTTCACAAAGAGCTCCAAAGAAAACACATAAGTTTAGTCATTTTAAAAGCTTTATATATTAAAACGTATTTGTGTATATATTTAATTTAAATTCAGTTTAATATTAATTGCCAGTTCATATAATAATGATTTGAATTATAAATAATCATAATTAATATAATATGAATATAATAATTAGCAGCAAAAGATAGGCAATTTTCTTTTTAAAATTCTTTCACTGTGAGCTGCTTTAATTAGGAGTGAGAGATAGAGGGGGAGTGGCTTTATTGCATCAGATGTATGTCACTTTCCTCACAGCTGATTGGTCCAGTTTAAGTTTACGATCTCTCAGGGTAGCCGTGTAGCGCAAGTTACTATGGAGACGAAACCCGCTCAAAACCAACCCACCTTCTTGAGCCCGAAAACTCAAGAGTTTGCTCAAACTAAACACAAACTTGCGTGGGTGAAAACCGAAACCGGCTTCATGCAACAGGCCTCTGGACGCCTTGATTGGCTGGTTCAGATGTGTTTGATTAGGGTTGGTAGTAGCTGGGTTGGACACGGACTGAATGTATATCTCTTCCACAGGTTTCTCCAAATCCTTCCCGCTGGACGGCTCGCTTTTTGACAGCTGGCTGGCTCAGTCGGTTCACATCACGGCAGATAACATGCTGAGCCAGTGGTCTCTATCCGGAGAGAGCCGCAACCCCTCCGCCAGCCTCCTGTCAGACCAGCTCCTGCAGGGCGAGGAGAACCTGCTCAGCCTCATGATGGACCACTCCATCAAGTCCACCTGGAAAACGCCCCAGCTGGGCCGCAAGCCGAGGGGTGCGCCGCGCAGCCGCAGGAAGTCCGTCTCGCTTCCAAGAATCAGATCCGCAGTTAAAGGCAAGGTTTGTCCTGAGGACCAACCTCCCAAACGAGGAGAAAGAGTGCGCCATGCACACCACCATCACACCCGCAGCAGCGAAGGCAGGCTGGACCCTCTGCAGCCAGCCATATCCAAAATGGACTCGTGCCACATCTCCGAAGAGCATGGCTCTTGGGTTGCCGGCGCGGACAATGGGGATACGGAGAGCAACAAGCGCTCGCAGGTGGCCTTACGTCTGCGTCTACCTAGACAGGGCAAGTCACGCTCTAAGAGCAACACGACGCAGGCCTTGCTGCAGAACAGCACTGGGAACAACATCTCCGCGCACGACACTGAAACAGATGGCTATTTCTCTGACGCGGAACAGAGTGACAGTGAATTGCGCTCTTTCAGCCGGAAGCTGCGCTTGCCCCAACTGCATGCTGGGAAGGAGGAGGTAGTGCGGAGAAGCGTGCTTGCCTCCTAAAACCATTTTTGGATGCAGCGGTGTTGCTGTAGGAGACACAGTCTCTCTCCCGTTTCTAGACCTTCAGATGTAAAGGCGTGTGTTCTTTTCTCGCTTTATGTGTCAGAGTATGTTAGTCCGTCGCCTACATTTATGCAACCATAACCATTTGTGCTTGATAAACAAGAAAAAACGAAAAAGTCTAAATGAGCACTGTCGTAGGTGTCGTCTTGGGAAGCAATAGGCTCTGTCCTGGAACAGGGACGATGACGTGGGCATTATGACGTCTGTTCAGGTTGTTTGTTTTATATGAATACGTCTGTCGTGTGTCTCCAGAGGATGCGGCTACTATAAAATGATGTACAGAGAAAATATGACACAAATAAGCACAAATAGCCGTCGGGGAATGTAGCACACATGTACCTGTCGTATCCACCGCCTCATTCGCTTTTACAGAGACGAGACGTACCAGAATCACACGGACACTTGAGTGTAATTCTTACGTGCCAGATCAGCTTGCATCATGGGTGAATCTCACGAACATGAAGCCTGTTTTAAGAGCCGTGTGATAATTGAGCACATTTTTGACATTTGGTCAATCCATCTCGAGTGGTCCGAAGTTGAGTGATTGCCTCTATCTATTGGTATCGCAAGACACCAGTTTTGTACTTTTTTATTTTACTTCGTTTAATCACTGTGGTCATCTTTGTGTGTGTCATGACGCACACATTTTTTTGTTTTTTTTTGGATTTTTCAGTATCTTGAAAAATCACAAGACTGGTCTCTTTACATTCAGAGCAGCATGACGAGTCATATCGTACCCAATATTCCACGTCGGCAATTTTGTGCATCTGCCATTTTGAATTTTGACAAAAAATGCTATATTTTTCGAACGCATTGGTGTATTGTTATAAAACGTGGTATGTGTCTTCGACACAATTCCCTGAAGGTACTCAAAACGTTTTGTGGCAAACATTATAATGTTAATAGCTTTTGATTAATTTTGCCTATTGTCATGAGACTTATCTTGATAGATTCCTTGGATCATGCAGAGAACATCAATTCCAATTATGCCATAATCGGCTGAACTTCCTGTCTGCCATTTTGATTTATGTTGAAAACTTACTTTTTCAAACTTCACTTAGACAGTTGGTCCGATTTTCACCAAATTTGGCTCAGATCATCCTCAGACCATAATGGCAAAAATTTATGAATTTCGTGTCGATAGATAAAATGGTTTTCGTTTAACGCACCAACGAATTTGATGCCAAACTGCATCTGAGGCTGTATCTCTGCAAAGCTGGCCTCTGGACGCCTTGATTGGCTGGTTCAGATGTGTTTGATTAGGGTTGGTAGTAGCTGGGTTGGACACGGACTGAATGTATATCTCTTCCACAGGTTTCTCCAAATCCTTCCCGCTGGACGGCTCGCTTTTTGACAGCTGGCTGGCTCAGTCGGTTCACATCACGGCAGATAACATGCTGAGCCAGTGGTCTCTATCCGGAGAGAGCCGCAACCCCTCCGCCAGCCTCCTGTCAGACCAGCTCCTGCAGGGCGAGGAGAACCTGCTCAGCCTCATGATGGACCACTCCATCAAGTCCACCTGGAAAACGCCCCAGCTGGGCCGCAAGCCGAGGGGTGCGCCGCGCAGCCGCAGGAAGTCCGTCTCGCTTCCAAGAATCAGATCCGCAGTTAAAGGCAAGGTTTGTCCTGAGGACCAACCTCCCAAACGAGGAGAAAGAGTGCGCCATGCACACCACCATCACACCCGCAGCAGCGAAGGCAGGCTGGACCCTCTGCAGCCAGCCATATCCAAAATGGACTCGTGCCACATCTCCGAAGAGCATGGCTCTTGGGTTGCCGGCGCGGACAATGGGGATACGGAGAGCGACAAGCGCTCGCAGGTGGCCTTACGTCTGCGTCTACCTAGACAGGGCAAGTCACGCTCTAAGAGCAACACGACGCAGGCCTTGCTGCAGAACAGCACTGGGAACAACATCTCCGCGCACGACACTGAAACAGATGGCTATTTCTCTGACGCGGAACAGAGTGACAGTGAATTGCGCTCTTTCAGCCGGAAGCTGCGCTTGCCCCAACTGCATGCTGGGAAGGAGGAGGTAGTGCGGAGAAGCGTGCTTGCCTCCTAAAACCATTTTTGGATGCAGCGGTGTTGCTGTAGGAGACACAGTCTCTCTCCCGTTTCTAGACCTTCAGATGTAAAGGCGTGTGTTCTTTTCTCGCTTTATGTGTCAGAGTATGTTAGTCCGTCGCCTACATTTATGCAACCATAACCATTTGTGCTTGATAAACAAGAAAAAACGAAAAAGTCTAAATGAGCACTGTCGTAGGTGTCGTCTTGGGAAGCAATAGGCTCTGTCCTGGAACAGGGACGATGACGTGGGCATTATGACGTCTGTTCAGGTTGTTTGTTTTATATGAATACGTCTGTCGTGTGTCTCCAGAGGATGCGGCTACTATAAAATGATGTACAGAGAAAATATGACACAAATAAGCACAAATAGCCGTCGGGGAATGTAGCACACATGTACCTGTCGTATCCACCGCCTCATTCGCTTTTACAGAGACGAGACGTACCAGAATCACACGGACACTTGAGTGTAATTCTTACGTGCCAGATCAGCTTGCATCATGGGTGAATCTCACGAACATGAAGCCTGTTTTAAGAGCCGTGTGATAATTGAGCACATTTTTGACATTTGGTCAATCCATCTCGAGTGGTCCGAAGTTGAGTGATTGCCTCTATCTATTGGTATCGCAAGACACCAGTTTTGTACTTTTTTATTTTACTTCGTTTAATCACTGTGGTCATCTTTGTGTGTGTCATGACGCACACATTTTTTTGTTTTTTTTTGGATTTTTCAGTATCTTGAAAAATCACAAGACTGGTCTCTTTACATTCAGAGCAGCATGACGAGTCATATCGTACCCAATATTCCACGTCGGCAATTTTGTGCATCTGCCATTTTGAATTTTGACAAAAAATGCTATATTTTTCGAACGCATTGGTGTATTGTTATAAAACGTGGTATGTGTCTTCGACACAATTCCCTGAAGGTACTCAAAACGTTTTGTGGCAAACATTATAATGTTAATAGCTTTTGATTAATTTTGCCTATTGTCATGAGACTTATCTTGATAGATTCCTTGGATCATGCAGAGAACATCAATTCCAATTATGCCATAATCGGCTGAACTTCCTGTCTGCCATTTTGATTTATGTTGAAAACTTACTTTTTCAAACTTCACTTAGACAGTTGGTCCGATTTTCACCAAATTTGGCTCAGATCATCCTCAGACCATAATGGCAAAAATTTATGAATTTCGTGTCGATAGATAAAATGGTTTTCGTTTAACGCACCAACGAATTTGATGCCAAACTGCATCTGAGGCTGTATCTCTGCAAAGCTTTGACATACTGACACCAAATTTATGTGTGTCATTGTCACCTCACACTGACCACACCACATCAATTTGGTAACAGCGCCACCTATCGATCAAAATTGATAAACCATTAAATCATAATAGTAATGATTGAATTTATGATTTTTCAGCCAGTTTGTGTAAAATCACCTTAAAATGTCTTTAATTACTCATTGTTGCATTTGGTCTGATCCTCCCTGCCATGCTTGCTCCTCATTCTGCCTCTGTTGTGCTTGGCCCCTTAATTGCTGCTTGCATTTGGACTTAAATTTTAAGTCTAAGGAATGCTCATGTTCATGTATCTTAAAATATGCATTTGAGATCAGTTTTTGATTCAAGGAGCTTCAGGATCATCTTGAGCCAAGATACTGAGGTTTCCATAAATATCTGTATGACCCAAAATTCGTTGTGCGCCATGACAGAAAGACAGCCACCCTGATTAAACGAAGAAAATAAAAAAAATAAAAAATGGGTGGTTTTGCAATCCCAACAGATGGAGATAATCACCAAAAAAAAAAAAAAAAAGAACATTAAAAATGGTCATGCAACTTTATTGGACCACTTGTGATAGTTCCAGTTACAACTAATTATAATGTCTAGAATTTTTTCTGGAATTTTAGAATTTTTTTCTAGAAATCTTTTTGTGAGATTCACTTTCATATCTGGCACTTTCTTTCCCACTTGTTTCAGTTCATTTGTTCAGAAAGAACCGTTGTCGTTCTCATTAAAGTGTGCCTTCTGTAGCCCCCAAATCAAACGAATAATCAGCATGTTTAACTGTTTTAATACAACGATGGCAATCAGAAACGAATACCTGCTTGGTCCACAAGCTTGTTTGTAGATGTCGAGGTCGTAGAGATTCTAGGTGCCTAGAAAACAGCATCGACCCAGCAATGCTAAAATCATTAATACTGCTTTAGCAAAGTGCTGTTCATGAACCAGCGTCCGTCAGTCAAATTGGATTCACACTTACAAAGTGTCCTCAGGCTTTGCTAATGTTTTCCCTCTGATTGTGACGTCTAATGAATCAGCCCATGGTGTTTATCTCAGGGTTATAGCGAAGAAGTGATTGCAATCATCTGAAAAGCTTAAACCTGTACATTCACAAACAACAAGGTTTCTTTGCCAAAACGTCACGTTTTGAGATGATCTTCTCACAGTGTAATGACGAAACACTGAGTTTCTTTTCTTTTACTTTGTATGATGATGCCAAAGAAAAGTAAGTCAGCATATGCTCTGAAGTGGATGTAAACTTTGTCTGGATCTTCTGAAGATCTCAGCCTGCACTGATATCCACCTGTACACTCCTGGACTGCATCATCAATCGAGCATCACGCTCATCAGCGATCACATACGTGAGCTGTCCAGAAATGTTTCGTTTGAGACAAAAGCAACTGATATGTAGCGTACGTGATGCGTGTCAGTGATTGAAGGGTTAGTTCACCCAAACAAAGACAGTTCTGTATTCAGTCTTGTTGTTCCAAACCTGTTTTGCTGTTCTTTTCCATACAGTGAAAGCAAATGGGTCCAAAACGGACAAAAAGGTAGTCCATGCGCTACATTCCAAGTTTTCTGGTGTCTTATGATGCTCAGCCCAAATTTAAGTGTTTAATTTACCAAAGTCCTTCCCCAGTCACCGTAGATCTCCAATGTTGCGGCAAATTTGCGAATAGCATCGTAACCAAAGGAATTTTCATCAGAAGACTAGAATACAGCACACAAACCAGTCATTTCGTGTTCCACAGAAGAGTCGTATGGGTTTGGAACAACGCCGCGGTGGATGAACGACGGCTGAATTGCTTCACTCCTTCGCTGGCTTAAATCGCGACGGCCGTCTGCTGTATCCGTACAAACCACAGACAGCGACCTGTACAGATTTCATGTATCTTAGCTGCTTTAATAGGGACTAATCATAGCGCTGGTCATTTGCCGTTCTCTGGTTCAGTATGCACCCAACGCAAACATGGAATACTGTGCCTTTAGTGACTTAGTTTCAGCCTCCTGCAAGAGTTCAAGCTGCTTTATCATGCTTCGTTGCCGTTCGTGTACCAAAACTATAACATATACTCTACGTAATCTCTGTAAATGTTCAGCTTCTGTGCAATCATTTTCCTCCCACAATGTAAAAGGACAAGAATGACAGAGTAGATCTTGACACTCGTATGTTGTTAGTGAGCCATCCGCTTAAACGACAAAGGGTAACTAGTCTTTGCACTTGGTTATTCTTTTGTCTCTACTGTTGGCTTTCCCTGGAAGGGTGAATAGCTGGAAATCATCAAGACCATCAAGGGGTGTGTGATATTGACGAAAAACGATATTTTTATATTTTCTGGGATTTTTGTCGATAGTTAGACGATATGTAGTGTGTTTTTGTGCTGGTACGTTGGCTGGTTTAGGCCCGTCATGGTTCACAAAGACGTTCATATTCTGTTATTTGGCAGCAGTGACAGAAATGACATTACCCGTAAATTTTCCATCTCAAGAGGCATTTATAAGTATTTACACAGACTGTTCAATGCAGCTCAGAGGTGGCCTGAATGCAGTTACACTGCAGTTACAAATGCCTCACATTGTGTCCTAACCAAACGAGCCGTGACAAGATTTTCAGAATGCGAAGTGACAAAATCAATCAAATATCACAGCTAATCAGAAGTGTGTGTGGGCGGGCTCTCTCTGGAAGCGCGCTGCACTCCCAACGAAATGGATGTTTATATTAAACCTTTTTAACATTATTAAAAGTACATACTGAGTGACTGATACCATCTTTGTTATGAAATACACGTGTTGGTTCACATTGAGTTCGCAGTTTTAACGTTCATGTTTGCTTTACATTTTTTTTTCAAAATCTTGCGTCATTTTTCAAGGTGATGCAAAATGATATTCAGACTCACATTAGACACTTTTAACATTGAATAAAGCACATAATCAGTTCCTGAAAGTATCATTGTCATAGGTTGTATGTTGTTGTTCCAGCTACAACGACGCAGAAAATAGAATCCGTTTCTAAAATTGAATCCGCTGTCGCTGGTTAGGACAAAAACTCAGATTAACATGGAAAATATACCTTTTGTCACATATCGCGGAATCGCGTTGCATCTGGTCAGGACACAATAAAAATAAAACAATACTTTAAGTATAAAAACTAAAACCACCAGTAGGTGGCGGCAAGTTGTTGAATCATTCCCTCAAATGATTCGTTCAAAAACATGGATTCATTCAGTAACGAAGGGCTCAAAACGGTTTTACTGCGGCTTTGTTTGAAACTGTTTTCATTGCGTAAAATAGAGCAAAAACAAACAATACTGTGTCTTTTAACTCATTGATTTTACACAGGAATTTTAAATTAAATATCACATTTGCAAGTGTGCTGATATTTGGGAAAACAGCACTTGTGCTCGTGTGATATTGCCAAACTACCATATAAGATAAAAACTCATAAAGAGCATTTTTTTTACCTTAAATCTTGAATTTCGGGTCAATCTGATTGCGTTCTGCTAGGCTGCATCATCTAGTTTGTGCCAAGTGAGTGACATAACAACATCAGCTCTCATATAATTAAAACAATTAGTAAATTATCCTAGAAGACACATATCGCACACCCCTAAGACCCAGATGTTCTTTCGGATTAAGTGGTTAGTCTTGAGCACATCGTGTGGTTCTTGCCTTCTCACTCCATGGAGAAAGTGACAAGGAATATATCGATTGGCTCAATGACGGCCCATTCATTCCTCTAGTGGAACTGATTATTGAAGAAAAGTCATAATTCATCCACAGAAATAAAGTGAAGCAAATTTGTAGGACCAGTACCCTTTTTTTTTTTTTGCATTTGTAAAGATGTCTGGACATATTATTATTAAAATCAGCATGTATAAGATTCATTACAAAAATAACTTCTACTTTTAAGCTTTTAAGGGTTTCTTTAATGGTTTCTGGTGAAGTATGACCCTCATGAGCTTCACCCGAATATCTTTCAGTGTTGTCGTTCACTTCCAGATGCTCCGTTCAGATGTGGGTCAGTTTACTGACGCGTCGAACTCCTGCAGCGCCTCAGAAACCCGTCGTGAAAGATCTCTCGCTTGTCCAGCAGCAGCTTTTGCTGTCATCTCTCTCTCTCTCTCTATCTCTCTCTCTCTATCTCTCTCTCTCTCTATCTCTCTCTCTCTATCTCTCTCTCTCTCTCTCCTGTCTTGTTTACTATGCAGCGAAATTTTCCCACAAGCCCCTGTGACCGAGCAGTTTTTTCTGTCTTTCACTCTTGAAAGAGTAAACGAGGCGCAGGAGAGGTGAAGCACTTGTAGTCCATTAAGAATCGCACGTGTCCAGTAAATCCGTCAACATCTTCCGCTCGACACGGTTAGGATACGATGATATGAATGTTGCAGGAGTTTATCCTTCTATATTCTTTGTTTCAAAGAATGTTGTGCCATTTGTTAATAGCAGAGAAAACTATTGAACATATAATTAGAAAAAAAGAAGAGCTATTTTAAATTATTTTAGGCTTTTTTTGCGATATTTATTTTCTTGTATTGGAAATCTTTATAGAAGGAAAAAAAGACAAGTATTTTTCATCAGTGCAAAAACCTATTTTTTCCTTTTTGTACATTTTCCATGTTAAGCAGTCTTTAGAGCAACTGTTGCAGGAGTTTATCCTTCTATATTCTTTGTTTCAAAGAATGTTGTGCCATTTGTTAATAGCAGAGAAAACTATTGAACATATAATTAGAAAAAAAGAAGAGCTATTTTAAATTATTTTAGGCTTTTTTGCGATATTTATTTTCTTGTATTGGAAATCTTTATAGAGGAAAAAAAGACAAGTATTTTTCATCAGTGCAAAAACCTATTTTTTCCTTTTTGTACATTTTCCATGTTAAGCAGTCTTTAGAGCAATATATAATGTTCATGTGACTGTATGTGCATGCTGTTTGTGATGCCTTAATAACAGCTCCAGTCCCATCATCGCCAGCGCTCGGCTGTGGTCGACCAGTGCAGTCAATAAAGCTGTGCTTTCTGTCTAACGTCTCTGTGCTGTGTGTCGCTACACCACACACACAAAACACAAACATACCCCAGTATAATAGCTTTCAGAAAGTGTTTTAGGGTGAGGATTTTACAGTGACTCTTTCTCAGTGTTAAATTATTACGCCAGTAGGTGGCGACAAATGGCTGTCTTTATATGGGAGTCATTGAATCATTCATTCAACTGATTCATTCAGGAACAAAGACATACTTGGTGGTCTTACGTTAATTGTTATGGCAGTTTTTAAAAACGGCTAATGTTAGAAATGGAATAACTAAGTGAATACCGAAGTGTTAACAATATAGTAAATCAAATAAAACTGTCACGATGACTTGCATAAGCGAATGCACAGTCAGCAAAACATACTTGTGTGCCGTTTAGTCCTATATACAGTAAAACTGTTTGAGTATTACAGCTTTTCTCCAGTTGATTACACAAATGTGATGAATCTTTGGCATAAATGCTAAACCACAAGCACAAAACTCTTATAATTGGTAGCAAAAACAAACACTGGATTTATTAAAAAATGTTTTATCTCTTTCCAAAATGTGTTCACATGAAGACATCTACCAGAAACACTGATGTGAACTGCTATGAATGTCCCATCAGTAGCTTTATACCCTCTGCATGTGTATCTACTCAAATATACATAAACACACAAATGCAATACAGTATTGTTACAGTATTTCCAAAATGCAGTATAGTTTTTTTTTTGTAGTATTTTTGTTTTGTATGTGTAAC